AATAATTTAGAATGGAATTGGTTAAAATATAATTTAGAATAAAATAGAAATAAAATACAATTTAAAACGAAATTGGGATAAAATATATTTTTAAAATGAAATTAGAATCAAATAGGGCAATTTAAGATGTAAATAGATAAAATATGATAAAATTGTATTTTACTATCACCCCTACAATCTACCCCAATCAGTCTCACATATGCCAATCTCAGCCAAACCATTTTGCTCAGGTACTGTGCTGTGTTAAATGTAATTTTCAAATTCTGACCGCACATATGGTAAGATATTTTGGTATGGGGGTTCCAATGGGTCATTCGTTTAGTGTATAGGCCAAGGTACCTATCTCTCACCCTCTTATATAGGCAGCAGTAAAATAGGATGTGAACCAGGTCCTCAACCTCTGCCACTCCACTGATGGCAGAGACGTCCATTATAGGATATAGAGTGGAATTTCTCATATCTGACCATTGTGTCAAGCTGTTCAAATCTTGCTCGTGTGAATATTTCCCTAAGATATTTTGGCAGTTGTAACTTCAAATAGCTGTCTGCTTGACAAGTGTGTTTGTATTTGCTCAGCCATTTCAAGTTACCAATCTTACTAAGAATGGCTATGTCATTTTGTGCTTCAGTATCCATAATTCTTTGGGCAGCTCTTTTTTTAGATTGTTCCCCCATTACGTAAGAGACAGGAAGGCCACAGCTTCTTACAAAATTTGTCAATTTAGTGAACCAGGAAGTTCGTGATTGTAATTTTATCTGCTCTAGTAGGCATAACTTGGGAGTCTATCACTCATTAATTTTATGCCTGTAATTATATATTCTAATTTTGGATAGAGCATGAATTGTATGAATTCCCAGTTCAGCTCTAACTGCTGCAGCAGATGTTCTTGGATCTATGCCCAAAATACATCTCAGGTGCTGAGACTGCGTTTGTTCTAGTGTTGTAACTGAGTATATACTCCAAACCTCTGCTCCATACAAAAGCATAGGAGTAACCTTAGCTTTATATATACTTTGATTAATGGAACAAGGGATCCTGGATAACTATGATTCTTTAATTTAAGCAGTAGATTCAAATGAGCCTTTGCTCTAAGTGTGCTCCATTGATGATGGCAAACCCAAAATCCAGTCTTGGAAAACATTATGCCTAAGTATACAAAAGTGTTAACCTGTTCAATTGGTTCACCATCTAATTGCCATCTATGTCTCTCATGATGTTTTCCAAACACCATGATTTTTTATTTAGATTAACTGATGATTAGGGAAGGTGTCCTGGCAATAGGAGTTAACCTTCTTAATAGTCTGTGCAATCCTACTTGTGAATACGATAATAGGATATCATCGACATAGAGCAAGCTATTACAGTATGCATTTAGGATCATCGGCATGGAATCCTTCGTTAACCCTGGCAGGTCATTAATGTATAGATTAAATAATAATGCGGCCAGGATATACCCTTTCTTACCCCTTTATTTCTGTGAATCCTGTTAGTCAAGCCCCATTAACCCCATCCTGGAAGTGTGCCCATCACTCGCCCTCCCTCTCCCTCTCCCTCAGTTGTCACCCTAGACCGCGCGCCCAGATCCAGCAGCATCGACCATTCACCATGCTCACTTCCTCCCTCCTTTTCACCCCATCCATCCATCCGTGGTTCCAATATTTCACCATCCATTCCTATCGTCCCTATTCCCTCCAAATCCTTTCTTTGCCTAGCCATGCAATGACTGCCTTCTCCGGTTCTGGTTCTGCCTCTGGTAAGCGCCATCCGCATTCTGACTTGCTCCTTGTGTATTTTTAATGTCTGGTATGCCGGGGGCAATTCTATGCATCGATTGATTGAATCCATGTTGGAGAGCCAGGCCTCCTTCAGCAGGTGTCCTCCTTTGGAGGCATCCTGGGTGATGGCTTCTGCTCCCTTGAAATCGAATGAGTGCCTGTTGTTAACCATATGCGTCCATATATAAGGCTTGGAAATTTGGGGACTAAAAGTGTTTTTAAGACTTTTTAAAAAAAAACTTGAAAAGTTTACAATATAAGTTTTGGATTTAAAAACTGAAAAATGATGTTGATGACATCTAGTGCTGAATTATGGCACTACAACTTATTTATGCCTAAAAGAATCCTGGCAAATTGGATAAGACTTTGGCTGGTCTTGGAGGCTTTTACTTTTGAGAATTGCAGCTGAGAAAAAGGAACAGACTTAGGAGCTGCTTATCTGTATGACAGAGATGATAATATTACTCTAAAACTGGCCTGTCTGAACTATGAACACAAATAATGACTTTCAGAACTGTATTGTGGAACTATTTTCCTGTAGAAGAAACATACATTATAATAGCCTGATATGATGGAACACTTTGGATTATAAATCTTGATTGTTAAACAACGTTTACTGGTTCTTTCTTCTCCCTGGACAGAAAGGATATATTTCTCATTGGACAGAAAAAATTGAATTTTACTTATATCTGATTAGGGGAGGTTTAAGAACAGCTGGTTGGTTGAATAAATGTATAAAGGCTGCTTACAAAAAATAAAATGCTTAGCTCTAAATAGTAAAAAACCATCCTTAACGTGTCTCCAGAAGCCTTAGTTTGCCATATTACCAAGACAATTACCAAAAAAAAGAAAGAAAAGAAATTCTCTCCATGTTGAAATTAATACAAGAAACAATTGCTTTAGCTCATGATGAGATTAAAAATAACACAAAGGAGATAAAAGACCAATTTTCTAATTTAAATCTACAAACTCAGAAAATAACTACAGAGAAGGAACCAGCAACCCAGAAAATAGAAGGAAAACTAGAGAATGCTGATACAAACATTGAGGTTCTAAAGGAAGAAACTACTGATCATTCAGATAAATGAAGTCTTAGAAGACACAACGATAATACTGGAAATGGAAAAGACATTTTATAAACCAAGATTTCAGAACATACTGGAGGATAAGGAAGGAGAGCTGATGGAATGGAAGTTAAAGCCGTTAACAGAATTGTGGGATACCAGAGAAGAAGGGAGGCTGTTTAATGAACATCAATGGGCTAGTTCTTCCAAAAATACTACAGAGAAGGAACCAGCAACCAGAAAATAGAAGGAAAACTAGAGAATGCTGACACAAATATTGATGATTCAAAGGAGGAAACAAATGACCAGACTCAGATAAATGAAAACTCAGAAGATATAATAATAATATTGGATAACCAAATTGTTTTCTTGTTTCAAATAATATACATAAAAATAGAGGAAGAATTATTTGACAATCCAGATGTACTGACTTGGAAAGTTAGTTATCAAAGGAAGAAAGCTAGAGTAAGACTGGAGGAAACAGAAACTTTGACCTATTAGAGAGGATGTTACATTACCAATTAGATGTTTGAATATAGTTAAGAATAGATTGCTAGAAATAGAAGTATTATTATAACTAAATACATAGGATTTGTAATCAGAATATTATATCTTAGTATGAAAAGGGAAATAAGAACATGCTAAGAACTTTGAATAAGGGAAGTTTTTGGTTACCCAAATATAACTTGTTCTGAAATTATAAATGATTAGGATATTTTGAACATGGATGGGAAATTAAAATTGAAAAAAGCGAAAACAGGATATGGACTGAATAAATGGATATTGAGTGCAAATGCAATTAAGATATTCTTTGGTTAGAAAAGATATTCTAAACTGATATTATTGACACTATTAGAAAAATGTAACAAATGATAGGTAATTGTATATTTACTAATAATAATAAAAATTGTATTTGCTTAGTGTGGAAAAATGTCTATTACCAGAAGAAGAGAGGATGTACTGGAGGGTGTAATAATGGATTTAGTTTGAAGAAGCTTACATGTACCACGGAATTACTAATGGACTCATTCATCATGTTGTCTATTAGGCACTTGATTGTAAAAATAGAAAATTAATAAAATATTTATTTAAAAAAGTGAAGGAATTTGTTGGCTAGTCCTTGAGGTTCTGGCCATCCCAGCACTTCCAGTCATGTAATCATGCTCTGGGTGCTTGGCAACCCACTTACATTTATGGTGGTTGCAGTTACTCAAGGTCACATGATTGAGACCTTCCCTACAGGCTTCCCAAAAGTAAACTCATTGGAGAAGTTGACAAGGAAGATCACAAGTTGCTTGGGTCACAGACCCTCTGCGCTCGCACTGCATCTCCCCAGCCACTCACACATCCTCCTGAGCCTTGCTGAGCTTGTGCTACATCTACCCTGCCACTTGCACACCCCTGAGCACTCTCCTCAAGCCCTGCTGCACTCTTGCTATGGTTACCTGGCAAATTTACACACCTTTCTTACCCAACAGCAGCCATTTCAAGTCCAGCTGTCCATCTCCATCACATGTGCACGCTCCCTGAGCCTCACTGCACTTGTGCTACGTCTCTATGGTGACCCATGCATCCGATCTCCCACTGAAAGCAGCCACTTACTTACCTGCCTGTGGCCGGCTTACAAGCCACCTAAGACTTGCAATTTCCTGCTGGTTGTTGGAAGCCAGCAAAAAGTTGCAAGGAGGTACTTGCTTAACAAGCCACAATCCTCCTTTAATAATGGCAACAGAGACTGCAGGGATTGCCATCACAAGTCATGTAATAATGTGATGTCATACTTTACATTACGACAGTATTGCTTACCAATGGAAGTTTTGGTCCCAAATGCTGTTGTAACTCAAGCACTATCTGTAATTGGTTTCAGCATTCAATGGAAATAGTATATCTAATATAATAGTATATAATTTTCGCTAAATCAAATATCACACTATTTGAGCTCACAGTAATCACAATCTACCAGTATAATTTATAGATCAGCATGTACAATTATTGTACAATTTGCTGACTGTGATGCAGCATTGTGAGATTGTGTTAATATATAGAAGATATTCTCCTTTTCACACAAAAAGGCTTCAAAAGAAAATAGTTATCAGTTTTATAGGCAACTAAATTCAGGACACAGATATCAAAAAGAGTAACATGGCTAGATATACTCACTGTGCCAACTGAGGTGGAATACTCTGTATCCTGTTATCACAGAGGACTAGGTAACTTAGTGAAGACAGGTTTGCTAACTCTGGTGGAATGGAAGTAATGAAATTTCCTCCAAGATATAAAAATTCTAAACTGAAAGAGAAATAAAAATCAATACATACAGTTTGCATCCATTTCCAATAAGAGTACTGATTCAGCATGTCATTTAGAACATAAATCAGTAGACCTCAGCCGTTTATATATTACAAAATGATTACATTAAAGAAACTTTAACAAACAAACTTAAAAGCAAAGGTAGAGGAAATGGTTCATCAGGTTACGTTCCTCCAGATAGGTCCCTTGAATTAAAAAAAATGCTATCAAGAAAATAATAATAGATGAAAAATAATTTCTTTCTGTCTCCAAGCTCTGATATGTGCCTCCCAAAGAGAATAAGTGTTTCCTATTGAATTTCTATCTGCCAGACAGTTGCTGAGACCACTCAGAAAGAAATCAATACTCAGCACAGCATTACAAGGTCCTCAAAGCAGTAGGTTTCTGGTACATGTAAAAGTTATGAAACATGCATCATGAAGTGAACCCAATCTCTGTATTTGTATTCCAATTTGGATACAAGTACAGCAGCCATAGTTTGCATTACAACACATGGTTTGTCATTCCTTTCCCATTCCACCCCTTTGAAGATGCCTATGCTTAAAGCTGTATTTGCAGGAAGGTAGCAGGCATCTGGATTGATATTTCTGATTGGCCATAATCCTATTTTAGAAGAGGTTTCAAAGACAATAAAATGCCCTGCCAGTTTGCTGAGTGAGATGCCATGGTGACTTTATTTTCTTCTGTTTATTTCTGTCGAAGTATTTGGGAGGAGTCATTTGACACCTGATCAAGTAATAGCAACAGCAACAGCACTTAAGACTTATATACCGCTTCATAGTGCTTTACAGCCCATTTTAAGCAGTTTACAGAGTCAGCATATTGCCCCCAACTAACTGGGGCCTCATTTTACCAACCTCGGAAGGATGGAAGACTGAGTCAACCTTAAGCCAGTGAGAATCGAACTGCCGAACTGCTGGCAGCTGGTGGTGCGCTCTAATCACTGCACCACCATGGCTCTATCTGACACCTGATCTAGTAATGACAGCAATACATTGACAGCATTGATATTAGGCAAGTATGCTTTATTTTCCCCCAGGAAATGCAAAAGGAAAAGAAGAAAAATAATACAAGCCATTATTGGGCCAAGCCCACATGAACCCTGGTAAATCTGAGTGAGGCTAGAGAGGCAACTGCTGCACTCCTCCTCTAATAAAGCTTATTGGATTTACCTTGAGTCCTATTTAGATTACCTTTGCTGCTTCATCTATTACCAATTGAGAACTGGCACAAACCACATTGGTCCACATCAAATTATAAATAATAAATTGTTTTTATGCCTCTTCAGTATATTATTTATTTATTTATTTATTTATTTATTTATTTATGAGACTTATATACCGCTTTAAGTGCAAGCACTCTCTAAGCGGTGTACACCAGTAAGCAATGTATATATATATTTACATTGCCCCCAACAATCTGGGTCCTCATTTTACCTACCTCGGAAGGATGGAAGGCTGAGTCAACCTTGAGCCGGTGAGATTTGAACTGCTGACTTGCTGAACAGTCAGCTAAAGTGGCCTGCAGTACTGCACTCTAACTGCTGCGCCACCTCGGCTCACCTCGGCTCATTAATGGGAAAAAGCGAACTTTGATCTTGACGTGATACAATATTGTTCCTTATAAGTACATTCTGTCTGCTTATAAGCTCAAGTCAGCACATAAAAACTAACTTGGTGGAAGCAATTGGCACAAGGTCATCTGTTAAATTCACAAATGAATAGATATTTGGACCTAGGTCTCTAATTCTAGCATTAGAGTGTAGTGAACTTTGTGGTAAAGCTTAGCTCTATTAAACTATTCTTTAATAATTAATAGTAACAATACTTTAGTAATTAAACACATAACCACAATACTCAGAAATAGTATGCCTCTAAATATACAAAATTAATTACCAGGTGATATTTGAAGTTTGAAGGCAATGCCTGCAACACCTTTACATCGTAGCAAAATGGAGAATACTAGCAGAAAATAATAAGACAGTGAGAAAAATATACTACATGACTGTGCATCTGCAAATCAGCTATGAATAGATTCTAAAAGAAAATGGAATTGTGCAAAGTATTAAACAGATACTTATCAAATATTATTTCTAGTATTATTCTAAAATTATTTTCAAGAGGATCTTGCACTATTTTTTCTAAATTTACAGAAGCCTCTTAAATATATAAAGCAAACTGATCATACTGAAAAGGGAAGAACATAGGAAACTACAATGAGAGATTAGAACAGATTAAACAAACTGTCCCTGAGTTGAAATATTGGCAATAGTGACTGGAAAACAAGATATGGACTAAAATGATGAAAATTGGAACAATTGTATTTGAACTGGAAGCTAGGCTTGCAATTGCACATTTGCACTCTCATTTCTGAGATATGTCCTCCCCTTTACAAAGATTTCTTTTTTACTTGAGTATGTCATGATTCTATGACTAGGACCCTTGGAGAATAAAAGACTATTCCTGAAAATTGGTGCACACTCAGACCCATTATACTCCCAAAAACCATTGTTCATGTCCCAGGCTTCTTATGGTTACTCACTGATATTTCCCATTTTTTGCTTTTCAGTGTAATTAATATGCTTTATTTCCAAAACAGCAGAACAGAGAAAAACACTTACTGTGACTGAACATTCCTAGTGTTATAATATGTAAAACAGATAGTAGAAAGAAAATAAAAATACTGTATAAATTGAAGATTAACCCCCCTCATTGTTTTCATTACAAGGTATCTATATGAACAAAATTAAATTACAATATTCATTAAATATACAGATAAAGAGAAAATACAAAACACAATAATATATTAAACTAAATGAAATTGGTCTAAATTGGTCACAAATACTATTCCCTGCCTGTTAAAAAAGAATAATTTTCAACTATTACTTCCTGAAATGAGGCTGTATTTTTCAATTGAAATGTGAAAATATGGAAAAGAGGAAGAAACTTAGCTTTTGCATTTCACTGGAGAAAAATTGATTCAAGGTAACAATTTTGTAGATGGCCAAATTGATATTTCCAAATAAAAGATTTATGAATTTATTTTTAAGCTACAATTCTCCCACATGACCTTCTTGTGAAAAAGGGGGCCAAAACAAAGCTGACAATCTAATATTGTATCTTTGTGTATATGCGTGAATCTATCTAGCTGTATCATGGAGCATTAAGCGGCGATAATAAACCAATCCAATAAAAAATAAAACTCCAACTCACTTCTCAAACTCATCCTGAAGACATTTCTTAAACTCTTATATTAAACTATAACTGAAGTTAAAATGAATGAAAGTGTTGAAATTACCTGAAAGACCACCTACTCCCATACTGTAATGTCTGCCCTACACTCTTTTGTAGATCTCACTAGAGATACAAGATCAGCAGATTGTGATTTTTCTGTGCCCAAAAATATAATTATGAAATAAGTTTGTGGGAATTGAAAAATACAAAAATACGAAACATTTTGAATAGCCTGGATGAAAAAAAAAATTCAAATAATGTTGTATTTTTTTATAAATATTATCTTTGCACCGTCTGATATTTTTTAAAGCCATTCAAGTATGTTGTATTAAGTGCATTCAACCAAAGCTACAATAATCCAGAAGGCTACTAAATGGTCATAAAGGCTGGTTAAAGCTTTCTGGTGTCAACTATTGGTTGCCTATATTTTAGCAGTACACAAGTAGTCTAATATAAAAGTTCTAAATAATTATAATAATTTATTAAATTTGTGTCACATCAGTGAAACAAACAAATTACAACAAAATCAGTAAAAGATAAATATGGCAAGTGTGATGAAATGAGGTCTCTCCCCCGCCAAAAGCATGGCTAAAGAAGCAAATAATAAATCCATTTTTTAAAAGAGACTACTGGGAGTTTGTGTATAGAACACCCCCAGATTATCAATACTCAAGAAAAACACCGAATGAGCTGATGCCCTACTTGAAATAACCTGGTAGTATAAAACCACTGAGACCTCCTAAAAGATGCGTGCCTTGACTGAAGCAGAGCTCACATTTCGAGGAACAGCAGCGAGCCTCGCCGCATTTTCGATCGAGGGCACTGGTGCACCTCCCGCAAAATGCAGCCTAAGCTTCGGTTCGGAAGGCCACCCGTAGCCGGCTTCCCCGGGAGCCTCTTGGCCCCTCTTCCGAGCCGGCTCACCTGCTGAGCTCCTGGATGGCGGGGGGGATGCTCTGGAGCCGGTTGCTCCCCAGGCTGAGGCTCTGGAGGCGGGAGAGGCCCAGGAGCGAGGCTGGGAAGTACGTGAAGCGGTTGCCGCTCAAGTTGAGGAGGCGCAAGGACTGGCCCAGGGGGGCGCTGGCCAGGCCCTTCGGGAGCGACCCGCGGGACCCCAACCGGTTGTTCTTCGCCAGCAGCGTGTGCAGATGCGCCAGGTCCAGCAGCTCGGGGCCCAGCACCGACAGCCCCGTCCCGCTCACGTCCAAGACCTCTAGGGCCGGATACCAGCTCCCTAGCCTCGCGGGCAACTCGCCCGCCGGGGACAGCCAGGAGGGGGGGAGCACCAGGCGCCGCGAGGACGGCTCCGCGACGCCCCTCACCCGCAGCTCGCCTTCCTCGCCCGCTCGTCGGGCTTCGGCTTCGGCCTGCACTCCTTCCTCCGCCATCTCATCAAGACCGAGCCCCGGAACCTGCGTACGATCGCGCTCGTAGGGCCCTGAGTAGCAGAACGTCAGGCCGCGCTTCGGCCGCTTTCTCCTGCAATCGGTCGAGACTTATACAGGTTCCCGGGCTGGTCCCGCAGGAATGGGCTAGCCCGCCGATCGAGGGTGTTTCTGATTCGGCTTTTCTGAGGGGCGTCGTGGAGTTCAGGGGCCCAGTGTGCTGTCAATGGCCTCCACGGGCATTTTTTAACTGTAGGGTTAGGGTTAGGCCGACGTATTTTTTCTTGCAGAGTAATTTGCTTGAACGTTCAGTATGTATTCCATTCAGAAACTTGGCTTTTACTTTTTTGTTTTAGCAAGATGACTTTTTCATACTGCACAGTTGACAACTTATGTTTTTCGTGAAAATGAAAAATAACAGGAACATGGGGAATCTCTTTATATGAAAGAGGGTCGGGGTCCATCTAGCTGGGTATTGTATATAGGCAATGCAAAGGAGCAGTTGAGGGCCTTTCCAGGTAAAGTTAGTGAAACTCCAGTATGAAACACTTGGGATCTACTGTTATTCAGTATACAGGTACAGTGGTACCTAGGTACTTATCCAGGATTCGTTCCCAAGTACTAAAATGGGTACTGAGCAAACCATGTGACCCTGTATTTCAGCCAGAAGGAGTCAGCTGATGCCAGCAAGATCTACCTTGCATTTCAAGTAGGGGTAGAAAGATAAGTACCGGGATAAGAGATCTTCTTCAAAACATGTTGAGTATCGAATTTGATGAATTTTGAAGTAGTTGAATACTGAGGTATTAATGTAGTCCCCAACTTATAAGCATTCATTTAGCAACCATTTGAAGTTAAAACAGCACTGAAAAAAGTAATGACTGGTCCTTAGTTCTATCACAGCATCTCCACAGTCCTTGTTCAAAATTTGTGCACTTGATAACTATCAAGTATTTATAAGAGTTGCAGCATCCCAGGATCACCTGATCATCATTTGCAACTTTCCAGCTAGCTTCCTCAAGCAAAGTCAATGAGGAAAGCTGGATTTGCTTAGTGGCCATATGATTCACTTATGCATTGATTTACTTAAAAACCATGACAAAAAGTGGTAAAATCAGGTGTGGCTCACTCAACAACCACCTTGCTTAGCAACAAAAATTCTTGTTCCAACTGTGGTCATAAATTGATGACTACCTGCAGTTTGGAGGTCTCTAACATTTGGCAGGAATTCCTATAGAAATTTATTCAGTGCATTAAGCATCGAACAGCAAACAAGCATCCACAAGCAAATACTAAAAATGCTACAAATTTCTATGTTTATTCCTGTCTTGATTTTGCATAAAACAACAAGACCAAATTTCTTATTTAATTATAGCAGCAAACAAATTCTGAGAATTTCCATCTCCAGTGAGTATACCAATACTAGTAATATTTATTCAGTAGCTAAAGAACTATAAAATATAAACAGAATAAAGAAAAGTGACTGCATATTTTGGTTATCATTTGTTTCTAGAAGTGTTATTGGTTAGCTATTTTTAAATAAAAGCTTTGAATGGGAAATAATGGCTAGTTTGAAAAGACAGCTGCTGCCCCTCCTGCAGATGTCTATGGTGTCATGGCTAAGCTAGAAACTGTCTATTATGGTGGTGCCCTACAAAAATTGCTTGGCTTTCTGTATAATTTTTTCCATAGAGAAAAATTAATTACGTATTTATTTGCATACATGTTCAATTGTATGAGATTTTACCTGAGTCTGAAATGATGCAGTTCAAAGATAGTTTTGGTTTTTCATAGAAAGCTATAATCTAAATTAAACAACCTTGCCCCTTATAGCTAGAGTCAGGAAAGCTGACTTAAAATAAATTAAGCCACAAATGCAAAAAATAACAACAAAAGTTTCAGTGTATACGAACAAGAAAAAGGTCAAGGAAATAATTGGTCTAATAATGGGAGAAGATGGCAAGCATGCAACAGAGAGAAAGTGGAACTCCTTAATTCCTCCTTTGCCTCTGTCTTCACGCAAAAGCAAAAAATAGTCCAATCTACCAAAAAGCAGCACCATGGAGACAGAACAGGAATGCAGTTCAAAATAGGCAAGAAATTGGTAAGAAAGCACCTATCTACTCTAGACGAGTTCAAATTGTCAGGACCAGATGATTTAAAGATTCTGAAGGAAGTGGCATATGTCAGTGATGGCGAACCTTTTAGAGACCGAGTGCCCAAAAACTGCCCCCGCCCCTGCTCCACCCACCCCGCTTTGCCCCCCCATCCCGTTCCGCCTGCCCATAGGACCACTCACCACCTCCAGGGCCCGCCACAGATCGCCCAGGCAGCCCAGCAGCGCTATGGCGGCCACACCCTCTGCCCACACCCTGCAGCATCAACTGCATGAGGGGGTGTGAGGGCAGCGTCTTGTCTACACTGCCTAGCTGCCATGTCTTTGGCTGTGCTGTTCCGCGTGGGCCACTGTCAGGGGCAAGTTTCCTTCACGGAGGCTGCTGGAGAGGGGGTTGTGGGGGGAGGCAAGGCTGGGGCAATGGCACGTGTGCCCACAGAGAGGGCTCCGAGTGCCGCCTCTAGCACCTGTGCCATAGTTTCGCCACCACCGGCATATGTGATCTTGGAACCACTGAATGAAATCTTTCATTGCTCCTGGAGCATGAGGGAACTGCCAGAGGACTGGAAAAGAACTGATGTGGTTCCAATCTACAAAAAAAGGAAAAAGTGGATCTGGGAAACTACAAACCAATCAGCTTGACATCAACACCCAGGAAAATCCTGGAAAAGATAATCAAGCAGTGGATTTGTGAGCATCAAGAAATGAACAAGGTGATTATCAGAAGCCAACGTGGGTTTGTTAAAAAGAGATCACTCCATACAAACCTTATGTGTTCTTTGATAAAGTGACTAAATTAACGGATCAGTGAAACACTGTGGATATAATTTACTTAGACTTCAGTAAGGCATTTGAAAAATAGACCATAACCTACTTCTTGGTAAGATAGAATAATACTGGATAGAAAGTACCACCACCAGATGAATTTGCAGTTAGGTGACCAACTGCATTAAGTGGGTATTCCTAAATGAAACTATTTCTACATGGAGAGAAGCATGCAGTGGGGTATCTAAAGTTTTGGGGGGGGGCAGTACTCTCCAGCATCTTCATAAATGATCTGGATGAGGGGATAGAATGGGAGCTCATCAGATCTGCAGATGACACCAAGCTGGGGGGAAGACTTTGGATTCAAGATTCAGTAGGATCTTATAGACTTGACACCGGGCCCTAGCCAACAAGATGCAGTTCAGTGGAAGGAAAAATAAGGCCCTGTAATTAGGTAGGAAAAACCAAATGCACAGGTACAGAGTAGGCTGTACCTGGCTCAACAGCAGTAAATGTGAGAGGGATCTAGGTGTCCTAGAGGACCAGCAATTAAATACAAGCCAGCAGTGTGCTGCAGCTGCCAAAAAAGCCAATGCAGCCAAGTCTAGGCTGCATCAACATTGGGACAACATCAAGATCACGACAAGTGATAGTATTGTTTTATACTGTAATAGTAAGGCCACACTTGGAATACTGCATCCAATTTTGGTCACAATACAAAAAAGATGTGGAGATTAGAAGGAGTGCAAAGAAGAGCAACAAGATGATAAGGGTGCTGCAAAATGTCATACAAGGAACAATTAAGGCAACTAGGTGTGTCTAGCTAGCCTAATGAAGAGAAGAATTAGGGGTGATAACTGTCTTTCAGAGAGCCACAGAGAAGAGGGGGTCAACTTATTCTACAGAGCACCTGAGGGAAGAACAAGAAACAACAGGTTGAAGCTCGTTAAGGAGAGTTCCAACCTGGAACTAAGGAGAAATTTCCTGACAGAACAATTAACCAATGGAACAGCTTGCTTCCCGGAGTTGTGGGTGCTCCATCACTGGAGGTTTTCAAGAAACAATTGGACAACCATTTGTCTGGGATGATATAAGGTCTCCTGCCGTGGGCAGGGGTTGGACTAGAAGACCTCCAAGATCTCTTCCACCCCTATGATTCTATGACTGTTATGATAGTATTATTTTTGCTAAGCTGATGTATTTTTTTCTCTCTATGGAAAAAAACATTATATAAAAATATAACAACATTATGAAAAAACAACTTCAAAATTGAAAAGCCTCAACAATTTACTGAACAGACTGGTTGGAATATCCTGGGGTGCCCTTTGTATAACAGCGTTGGTTTTGGTTTATTTCACAACTGAATATTGTGACAGCTTGTGGCTTAACAGCAATGTCCAACTCTGCCAAATAATCAGTATCATCTCTTGCACATTGCATCCCACTCCTGTGTACTGGTTACCAGTACTTAGCAATATCATACCACCCCACATTAGAAGGTAACAAGCTCTCATTTGGCTATGGCCAAGATGCTGAGAACAAGGCCCTCCCTATTTACCAGGATAATACATAGCCCATCGCAACATTGAAATCTCATAGACTAGCATAGAAAACAGCTATTGCCTTAATATCCACCCAGTTAAACCCCCTGGAGAGAGGAATGGTCCAAGGTAACTTCTTGTGCCCTGACCATTAGTGATTCCTCTACTAAACCACTGGTTTTGACCTGCCTCACTCTGTCTAGTTGAAATTGAACAGAACTGGATGTCATACTGGAAGAAAAGCTTCTGCCTTGTGTCAGTGGGGATGGAGAGTCCCCTTGTTGTGATTGTGAGGCTGATATGCAAACGGTTAAGCATATTGTGGAAGACTGCCCACAATGTGTGTTCCCTGGTTCCCTAGAAGATTTGCATAATGCAGCATCAGAGGTGATCACCTGGATAGCTGAATTGGACATCCAGTTATAAGGCCACCTGCTGTAACCCAATGAAATGTGGTATATAGTTAACATAGATTTTGTATATATGTTTACTTCTATCATGTTCTCATCGTACACTAAAGAAATATTATTTATAATTATTCCAAGCCTTATTGTCTTGCCTGTCTACCTTTTTGCTCAAATTTTTATAATGCTCTAACAGTTCAAGTCATATTGTGTCAAATTTTGAGGGTGTGAAGAACTAGTTC